GGAACAAATTCCCTGAAGATACCAAGGGACCACTATAAGATCCAAGAGCATTCTGGTTTTCAGAAGACTTTCAAAGCCAAAGAACTTCCAGGCAAGTGAAGACCCTCAAAACTAACTTAAAATATCTAAGGACTTCAGGGACCACTACTTAAAGGTACTCGGCAATCTCAGCAAGCACTAAGCTATCTCACAAACACTCCAGGGGGCTTTCTTGATGTTTATAAGGCAAGGACCTCATACCATCACAATGCCTAGAACCAAAAGACGTACCCCCAATCCAGAGTCCGTGGCTCTATAACTATACACAATGATCTTTGGGCAGTTAGCCCTGAGACTATTAGTCCAGGTGCTCCAGGTACTCACTGGAAGAACGGATCTTGTCCTAGGTGTTGGGAGCCCTGTGTTTGCTCTCACTTTGACTAGGGGGCTGATGTAGCCAGGCAGCCGTAGCTCAGATCCTCAATCACAGAAGAGAGCAGCACCCAGAGTGGTGTCTACTATTAAGCCAGAATTCAGGTGCCTACCTAGTTACATATGCTTTCTGGGCTATGTGAACCATGTAGGACACATCCTAGGGAAAGACACAGGTACCATTTTTGGTGTAGGAGCTGAAATTAGCTTAGATTCAGTGCTTCTGGCTCTGTCGCCAGTTGCCACAGGCCTGGAGAAGCAGGTTGGATCTTTGAACTGGAAAGGGCCAAGGGGCTCCGCTCTCACTGATCCTGATCTCTAGTGGGCCTGAGTCCAGACAACCTTCCTCTAGAGGACTCAGCTGTCCTCATGTGCTGCAAAAACAGGGTAAATGTCAAGGCTTCTCATTACTCCCCCTACAAGCAGGTGCTCACTTAGAGGAACAAAAAAATAAGTGGTGTCTGTAAAAAAAGGGCACATCAGGATGTTAAGGAGAGCATCAGTGAGGTCTGAGCAAGTGTATTCCCTGACCTGAACCTCAATTTCTCATGTTTTAAGAGAGCACCAGCCTGCATGATGCTCCACCCATGGAGCTGAAGCAGTTTTCTCACTGGTCAGCAGCTCCTAGAAGCAGAGTTCAGGCCCAAGAAAAGCACAGCTTGACTCAATAGTTCTGCCCAGCATTTGGGGGTACAGGCAGGGTGAGGGAGCCTGGGTTTCAGCTTGGAGCCTGGGTGTCAGCTCAGAGCTCCTGGGACTGAGCCAGGCCCTAGAAAATTGGGCTGACTCCTCTCCTGGGCCCAGATAGGACTGTTCACTTAATTTCTGGAGCTTGGTGAAAAGAAAAGGACATAGGACATAAGGTGCAAGGGTCAGGAAGCTGTTCTGGTACCAAAGTCCTTAATATGTGACCCTCAAAACAATTAAGCATCAAACCCCGGGGGTGTTCAGAAGCCAAGCAGGTGTACGTCTCTCAGCCTGTGTCCTGTAATTTTCTCCAAACATACCTTCTGAGGCTACAGCACCACCTGGCTTAGAGAGAAGTAGAGCCAACGAGCTGACTCAGACCTAGCTCCAGGATTTCCAGATCGGAACATCTCATTTCCAGAAGGGCCCCCACAGTGGGGTCAGGTGATTTTAGAAAGCAAAGATACCCCAACCCATATCAGCTATCATCTCAGAACTATCTCAGCTCTATTCTCTAGCCATCTGACTATAGGTCCCCTCCTAGCACGATGATGACTGTGTCACCATGAGAATCAAGTGAGTTTAAGACACAAGATTGCCTGGCAGAACAAGAGAGAGTTTTCTGTGATTGTTCTTTTCCCTCCTTTCCATCATGGCTTAGCTGTCTGGAGATGAAAAGCCAGCTGTCCTGGAAAGCCAGGGGACAGAGCCACAGAGTGTCAGGATGAGCCCAGAGAAAAGCTTTGCTGGAGGGAGGAGGTGAGGAGGAGGTAGGTGTGCACAGAGAAGAGCTCAGAAAGCAGAGATGGGAGGGATGGAAGAAATCCCCACCCCCAACCCAGCCCTGTGCCTCTCAAAAATGGGAAAAGGACCCTGTGTTTCCAGAAAAATGAGCAAGAACTCTTTTGTATTGGGGAAGGCAAAGACCACACCTACACACAAAGACAATGCCTGAGATGTGTGAAGGCCTGGGTTCAATCTGAAAGAAAGAAAGAGTAGGAGAGAAGCAGGGAGAAAGAAAAAGAAAAGGAAATTTTTGACCCAATTCTCACCTGCCTCCATGGGCAGGAACCAGGGAAAAATGTATACATAGGGAACTGGGAGATAAATGGATGAGTCCAGGTCTCTACCAGCTCATGGCTCACTTTACTCATGGCTTGCCTGGTTCTGGAAACATCTCAGCCCGTTGACAGCCCCAACAAACCTTGTTGTCCTCTGACTGTAGTCAGGAAGGGTGCCTCACTGGGATTCAGCAGGCTGCCCAAACAGGACCCTTAAAATGCACAAAGATGTGCCCAATTCTGGTGAGCACCCCGTGATTTCTGCCACCTCTGTATGGCCCACACACCCCCAGGCTGGCAGCAACCAAGGAGTGTCCATTTCGAAAGGCAGGCACAGGGCAGGTTCCAGGGTCACAGCCCAGACAAAAGGGCTTCAGGAAGGGAAGCTGGGGAGAAGGGAGAATGGATGGATGTGTAAACGGCTGGTCCAGTTCTGCAGTAGCGCCCCCACTAACCTTGTTTCTGCCCTGTGTTGATGCCGAGCGAGGGGCTCCCACAAGACAGGGGAGACGTAAGTCCCACTCTGTCTCCCTCTCACTTGCTGCCCTTGGCTTCTCCCAACCTCCCTGCCCTGAAGTCTAGCCCTCAAGACCCACCTCCAGACACGATGGGCTTCCACCAGGGCCTCAGTTTGACTTAGCAGAGATGCCCCAAGGGATACCAGGACAAGCAAACATGTAAATCACCTCCTACTTGTGGGGTCAGAGTGGGACAGGCAAAAACTATGTATTAAAAAGTGTTGCCCTGAGCTGGCCCTCACCAAAGCAGACAGGTTTTGTTGTTTTTTCATTTTTGGTTTGGAGGATAGCTGGGGACGGTGGACAGTGAAGGTGAAGTGGTAATTGAATCCATGGGCTATTTACCACTGAGCTGCATCCCCAGCCCATTTTATTTTTTATTTTGAGACAAGGCCTCACTAAGTTCCTGAGGTTGGCCGAAAACTTGCAATCCTCCTGTTTCAGCCTCCTGAATAGCTGGTCAGGCAGCTGGGTAAATCCCAGGCATGGGCCACCACGCTCAGCTCAGAAAACAAGGTTTGTTAGATGCACAGCTATAGAATTGCTCCTTTGCTAAGACCAGCCCTCAGATAATTCCCAAATCCCACTGGTAATCAATCTCCTTCTGGGACTCCCTTCCAATTGGTCAACCCCACCTCTGCACAGTTTGAGTATTCCTTATCTAAAATGCTTGGCACCAAAAGTGTTTGGATTTAAGATATTTTTCAGATTTTGGAATATTTACATACATATGTATGTATGTAAATGATATATATTGGGGACAGGACAAGACCCAAGTCTAAACACAAAATTCATTTATGTTATACCTCATGCACTTGGCCTAAAGGTAACATTACACAATGTTTTTATTGTGTCTGTGTTTTTACCACAACCCATCATATGAGTCTAGTGTGGAATTTTTTACTTGTGGTGACGTGATGACAACGTGTTTCAGATTTGAAAGCATGTGGGATTTCAGATTTTTAAATTAGGGATCTTAACCTATAGTTCCAAAGCAGACTACTGTGTCCTGTGAACATGTGCTGAGGCTGCAGGGGAGGGAGGTTGTGCATAGCCCCAGGAGCACTGGGCCCTGAAGCAGAAGGAAGTGCTGGCGGGAGGGGTCTGGATTTGAGCCTCAGCCACCCACACCAGTAAACTAAGGGAGGGGATTCACCCAGCTGCCTGACCACTACAAAGTGTCTCCAGGCCTCAGGACTCCACCTCCAAGAACGGAAAGCCCAGACCTAGGGCTGGCATTCAGGGCCTTTGAGGCCTAGCCCTTGCCAGGCACCCTCCACCTTATCTCTGGGCACCCAGGATAGCAGCCATTCTCCAGGCAAGCCTGGTTCTCCTCCCCACACCTGGTAACCTTTGCACATGCTGCTCCCTATGCCTACAATGCCCCTCTCTCCTTCTCACAGACTCCCCAGGGAGATTTCATCACGTTCTCCTTTGGCCTCCATATTGCAATGCAGAATGCCACACTCTGTGGTGTCTGGCAATGAAAAGTCATCTCTAGCACATGACAAGCAGCAGACACCTTAAGGAGGCCTCTCCCACTGCCCATCATCAGGGAAAAACCTAGAAGGAGTCAGGGCTTGTTCGTCACTGGGAATTTAGGAGGTGGGGTGCAGGTACTCATACTCCCCCCAAAAGCCACTAGGGTTCAACATTTTCCTGGCCAGTGTAGCTCTCTGGCCTGATCATTGGACAAATAAGTTTGTGACAAGGAATTAAGAGCCACTGATGGGTCTTTTCATCAGGAAAGGTACCCCAGAAATCCCCAAGGGACAGTCCTGCAGGGATTTCTCTCTCTGGGCCTGAAAAACAACCCTAATGATTTTCAGCCTTCATGTAACAACAGTCACTGAGAAGAGAGCAAATCTTGGAAAGCCATAAATCCTAAGACTTTGGACCTCTGGTCTCAGGAGTCCCAAGGGAAAGCAAGTGAACTAGCTGCACATATGAGAAAGGGTCCTGAGAAATAGAGATGGTTTCCTTCCCCAGGCTTCCCCCATAAGCTGCAGGCTAGCACCTAAAAATGCTGCCAGAGGGAATGGGGAAGTTATAAACATGGAATGGTCACTTTTGAAGTAATCACCTCTAGGACAAGCCCTCTGTCATTGACCCTTAACAGCAACATCCACATGCATGTAGAACTCTATGCAGAAACAAGCAAGATAGCAAGTATGGACCTGTGTCTGTGTCCCCAGCTGTGATTGACAGGAGAAGACGGGAGCCCAGTGGGTTTGGGTGTGAGGATAAGCAGAGCCAAAACAACGGGCCAGTCAGACTCCACCCTCCCCATGAGACCATACCCGCCAAGCAGAGCCAAACTCACCCTTCAGGGAGGCCACGTGTGACAAGGCCTGAGCGTAGGTGGCTGTGTTCAGGAGGGTCCCTGGTAAGCAGGAGGGGAAGAAAGGACCAGCAGGACCCACAGTTCGCCCCAGGCTGGCAAAGATAGAAATTTTCATTGAGTACCCTCGTGTGTCTGGGCCTGAGCTCCCTGGGCCCCAGGTCCAGCCAGTCTCACCTCTGCTGGGCCTCCAGCGCCTCTTTCTTGTTCCGGCCCTGGTCCCCAGGGGGCGGGGAGTTGATGTTTCTCACAGGTGGTGGCGTCACCTCTGCCATGGGTTCCTTGGCACCTGGTTCCTGGTCGGAGGCCCCTCTCTCTGTTTTCCTCCACTTGGCTCTTCGGTTCTGGAACCAAACCTAAATCAGAATGGGAAACACACACCCAAGGGAAGCATAAAATCAGAAAAGAGGGAGGAGCCAGAACCCCAACGTGAAGGTCTAGACCCCGGGCAGGTGCCCACGGCTCACCCTGCAGCCCCTGCCTACTTTGTACTCTCTGAACTGAGCTTCTGTACCATGGATGGGTTGGATCATCTTCCAAGCTTATGACAGGCATGTTTCAAGAATGAATGTTGAATAATAGAAAGTATTTAAATGCATTGCCCACAGGAAGGGTAAAAGTATTGCCTTGTGGAGATTCTCAGAGCTGCGTTGCCCGGAGTCCATTTATTTGATGTGAAACGTATTTACTGCTGGGGGATCATTGTTAAAGCAGCTTGGAAAACACCCCTCCAGGCCTTCTCATCAAAAAGACTCATTCAGTCATCCAACAGGCTGAGGCCTGGGTGTATCTGGTCTCATACCTGTCGTCTAACTTCGAAATTATCACAAGTTCATGACCAGCTCAGTGCACCTAATAGAATCCCTGACTCTGGAGTCGGCTATGATTTAGAATTCTGGGCCTCGATTTAGACCCACTTCAACCCTATGAGGTAAGTAGTCCTGCTGTCCCCATTTTACAGATAGGGAATTAAACACAGAGAGGTTAATTAACATGCCCAAGGTTGTCCAGATGGCAAATGACAAATCCACAATGTGAAGCCCAATGACGTGGCTCAGGACCATGATTCAAACTATTTCGGGGACAATGATAACAGCAATCCCAAGCATCATTAGGAAGGTTGACACGCATGTAAAACACTGAACACAGTACCAGGCACATAACAATCAATCACTCAATGAATATTAGCTAGTGTCATCATCTCTATTATCCTCGAGTCAGCAGGAGGCTTGTGATTCACCTTGACTTAAGCACCTTCTTAGAGAGGGGTGTCAGATTTTTTAAGCCTTAAAAACCAAACTACTTTTGCAGAAGGACAGGCTGCATAGAAGCCGGTAAATCCAAACTCAAGGTGTACCCTAAGGTACCAAAATCCCACTGTCTTTAGTGCATCAAGCAAAACCTCTCCTCTCCTCTCCTCTCCTGGGAGACAATCCTTGACTTTATTTAAAAAAAAAAAAAAAAAAAAAAATTGGCTAGGCCTCCCTCTGATTTAGGGCTGGGGTTGGAGGCCTCCTCTCCTTCTGCCCCGGCCAGCACACTGGCCAGGAAGACAGCCTGGGTCCTCAAGGCTGAGCCCTCTGCCAACCCGCCCTATCTCTTCATTTTCATTCTCCTTTAACTGGGTTTCTTTCTTTCTTTTTTTAATCGAGTTGGCTTTTAATTGCACATATCAGCAACCATTGAATAATGATTTTATCTATATTCTAAATTTAGGGCAGTTAAATGCAAAGCAAAATGCAGACACTTTCTTGCGTCTTAATTGAATGAAGGTCACAGCTATAACAACATTTAATTGAGCTATTTTTCATTATCATATTTTAATGACTTTGCACTGACAGTTCGCCTGCTTCTGAGGAAAGAGCATGATGGAGTCGTTTATTTCCCTATTTAGTTATTGTTTGACAACATCAGCTTCGATTAAGACCCTGCTTTATAGAACATTAATCATATTTGAATGAGCAAGGGGTATAAATGTAAACACATCTCCCTTCCCGCCACCAAAGCCCGTGTCCCCACACGGAAGCTCACTAAACAAATGCTTCGCAGCCATTGTCTGGCTGCATAATAGCCAACAACAGCCTGGACAACAATTCCCAGCTTTAATTGTCACCACCCCTATCTTACCCTTGCACCTTTCAGGGAGAAGTTATGATCTTCCACTTCTGAATGTTCAATAATTGTGTCATTTATCTCAATTTGCAGTTCAGTCTTTAGGCAGCTATTGGCAAGCTAGCATTAAAAAAAGAAACGATAGACGGTATCCTGGCCAAAGAAGATTTTCATTTCCAAATAATAATCAGTTTAATTTGCCCGCATATGACCAATGATTCATGTTCAGATTTAATAATCAGGATCACATAATCTGATTATAGGGGAAATAATTTGTTTACAACCCCCAATTTACTGCTCAGAATTCCATTATCTCTCTTCAGCCATTGGTTTTTAAGAGATACTAACATGACCCAGGGGAACCGAAAGCAAACTATTATATTTCCTACAATTAGATCTTTGCATAGTCTTAACCCCAAGCCCCTACATAAAAAAGAACAGAAACAGCATGGAGGAAACCCCATAAATAAAATGAATATATAATTGTGCTCAAAGAATAGCTCGCCCGGAGAGGCGGCACTGTGAATCTGTTCTTCTCGCACTCGGGCACATCTGCTGGGCTCGGCGGGTTTGTGCGCTTAAACATAATCACTGTGTAGCTTCGAAAAAGAAATCCTGCTTAGAGGCGCTTCACGCAGGCTGTGCTCATCTCGGCTCAGCCCTTTCACTGCACTGTTTAAAGATTTTTAAATTGCACGCATTCTTCGGATCCACTTTGCTGAAAGAGTCCACGTGCAGGGGAAAAGTTGGATATGATGCAATTTCTGGAAAGCAGATCCTATCCTGCTTCCCATCTGAAAACGCCGGTTCTCTGCAATTGACCGGCCTCACCCCAGAGCGGTCAGATCTGCTTTGAGAATAGCATCTCAGCTTTTTTTTTTTTTTTTTTTCCAAAGCAAGGAAATGGATGTGCATTGATGTAATTTAGTACCTTAGAGACGCGGACAAATTAGTGTAGAACATTATCACTAGTTAATTATGAATGACCGATTAATCAACCTAATCTAATATTCCACATTATGTTGATGTTATTAAAGTGCATCATGAAAATGACAGATAGTCTTCATTTGCTTTCTTTGGCCAAATGTGCACTCTGCAGTCATGATGTCAAAAAAAAAAAAAAGTTTGCCAGTTTTAATATTAGAGAGTTAAATAATTAAAAAGAAGGTTTACCTGCACTCTGGCTTCTGTGAGGTTTATTTTCATGGCTAGCTCTTCTCTGGTGAAGACATCTGGGTAGTGTGTTTGGGCAAAGACTGCCTCAAGAGCTTCCAGCTGGTAAAAGGGAAAAAATATTTACTGGTGAGAGGCTGCGGCTAGGTGAGGGGAAGCAGATGCACATTTCAAAGCTGCTACGAGCAGTGAGGAAGCAGTTTCACAGATCCAATGAAGGAAGGAGATAGAGAAAAGAGCTCTTTGAATGGATTCCGCAGAATGAGAATTTCAATCCCAGATGACTTAGGAATTCAGACTTAATGACAACCTCAATGCTCTCCCAAGAAGTGGAAATGAGAGAAGTAGGAATATTTCTTGCATTTACATTTAAATATTGTCATAGGAATTAAAAATCCAGGGGTGGCTTTACAAACAGAGTAACTTGCGTAGCTTTCACCATGGGACACAGAGAATGAAATCTATTTGTAGAAGCCCTCCCCGGGCCAATCCCACAGAAACCTCATAGAGGTTTGTGGGTCACCTTCACAACTGCTCCACTTTGTTCAGGAGCAGAACAGAGACCCATCTCAGGGGAAAAACTCAACCCTGGAAAATACAAAACCAAGATTCCGGTGGTAGCCCTCCCACCTGTGGCGACAATACCATCTATGAGACAGTCAACTTCATGGGTCCCAGTTTTCCCATCTGTCTACTTGGGGTCAGAAGGTGTGACCTGCCTTCCTCAAAGGGTTATTGTGTGTTGACCTGGGATATGCCCCACGCCATCAACTTAAGACCAATGGTAGAGATCACTGTGACCTCTTCATTAGGCTTCCTGGAATCACAAGACAAAGTCAGCTACCCTCCCCTGGACATATTTCTTGATTCATAAATTGTTCAAGAAAATAAAAAAATCCATTAACGTAATCAGTTGGCCTTATTTTGAATGACAAGAAGTTGCTCAGCTCTGACTTCACAGAGGCAGGAGGTAACTGACTCTGAGAATTGGGGATGGATCTTGTTACCTGCTGAAGGGTGAAGGTCGTCCGGTTCCTTCGCTGTTTTCTTCGCAGAAACCCATCATCAAAATCCCCTGTAGAGTGGTTGCCAAAGGGTGCAGTGCCTACTGGGAACAAACTGAATCAGCCTGAGCAGAGGGCCCCTTGGTCCTCAGAGAGCCCCCTCTCTCTTCAGAGGCCAGCATTGCAAGCTCACTCAGGACACCTGCCCACCCCTTCCAGAGAGGGTCCATCTATCCCAAAGTGTTTTTCTCTGCTTCTCTTAAGAGAATGATATCTCTTTCTACTCTCTTTTCCACTCTCTCCTATTCTCTCTCTCTTCAAAAAACCTTTGACTTTAGGCCCAGCTGTCTCTATTGCATGGGGTGGCAGGGACCTTAATCCCCAAGATGGCCAAGTGCACTCTGGATTCTGATCCAGGAGATGTCATTGGCTTGAGGCAGAGCCTTTATCTGCCCTCCAGCCCCCAGCTGCACCTTGTCCGATGTGCCTTCATCTCACCCGCCCACCTCAGACCCTTTAATAGGAGGCTATACGTCTGTCTGTCTTTTGCTCGCCTGTTAGTCACTTTCCGCTGTATCTACATCCAACAAGGGTTAAAGGCTGAGGAGGGGGGAAGATGAGGGAAGAAAGAAAGCACCAAGCGCTTTTCACAGCACTTTTCTCCTAGAAGTGCAAAATGCAAGGAGTAAGAAGTTTATAAATGAATATTAATTACCATTCGTCACAGCTCATCAGCACCATAGTGGATCTGTTATATAAGATGTCAGTTAACAAAAGACCTGTACCAATAGTGACTGCTTTGAATGCCAAGCAGACACAAACAGGGCCACTCTCAAAAGACACTCTCCGGTCAGGCCTTATAAAGCACCTACTGCTCTCACTTCCCTAGAAAAGAAAGACATTGTCCTGCCCAGAAGCCTCCGAAGCTCATGATAAAGCCAGAACAGAGTTTGGCCCCAAATGTGCACTCAGATCATTTTCCAAATGTGCGCTATTTACTTGATAGTCCACAATGGCTTCTTAGGAAAACAAATGAGCAAGTTTCCATTAACCAGTGAACATATTACCTGCCACGGGCCCCGTGCTCAGAGTCACTGCACATTCAGCATCAGGAGCTCCCAAGCCCAGACAACATCCCTCAGAAGGACCTCCATCCCGAGGAAGCCAAGTCCCCTGGACTTTTTAAAATTCCATCTACTAAAAGAGGTCCCTCTAGGTATTATTTTACCCTCCAGGGCCACATCCTTTGCCAGAATACATCCTTTCTCTCCCCCACTAAATCTTCCTGCCCAAACTGCATTCTTCCTCAAAACCCTAGTTAGAAATATTTCTTTCCAGCTCATTGGAAATTGAAAGGGGGCAGTCTCAAATCAGTCTTTTTTCCATTACTTTGCAAAAAGCTCAATTGTCTCCTTTTGGAACAAAGCACTTGACTGGGAAGGACAGAATGCAGCCTCTGAGGTCTCCAATCAGAATCTTTCCCAGTCTTCTAATTTATACCTTGTTGTCTATTATTTCACAATTATACATGTAACATCGTATTGTGAAATGTTGCATTGAATCCTAAAAAAAGTACAACTTCATCAATTTAATAATGAAAAATTGACAACCTACTAGAAAAGAAGAAGGGATGTGAACGGGCTTTTTACTTAAAAATACACAGAATGGTTGACAATGTTGTGAAAATGTTAAACCTCACATATACTTAAAATGCAACAAAAAAATGAAATACTATTTTCATGATTTAGGCAAAAAAAAAAATTTAAATAAGGTACATAATAATACCCAATACAGACAAAAAGTAATAAGTTGGTTACACTCACTCATCATTTAGAAATATCAATTGTTTTGGCCTTATTAGAAGGTAATTTGACAAGAGCCATCAAAAGTTTAAGAGTATATACAGGTATTAATCTATTAATATACTTTAAAAGTGTGCCAAAAAAGGACAGACAAGAATGTGCCTGGAAACACTGTAACTGAGAAAAAAAAAAAAAAAGAAACAGCCAAAGCACCCATCAGTAAACATTTTGTTCACAACATATAATGGAATATTATACAGCTGTCTAAAATAAATCAGTAGATTCACATACATTGGCATGGAAAAATCCTCAACATACATTATGAGGTTAAAAAAACTGCAGTATGCTGCGACAGTATAATCTCAACGCAAATATGGCATAACATATATAGAGAAAAAGACATAAATGAGGAAGAAAGCATGATTTTTCTTGAAGGAATTATAAAAAACCCACAGGAGCAGGTGCCTTTAGGAAAAAACATAGAGAAGGATTTCACAGGCTGAAGTGTAGGTTTCTGTTCTATTCTTACTTGTCATGTAGGTACATACATGTAGTACTTTTAAATTTAATATCAGCAAAAATATCTGAGAAGTGACATTATGGGCCATGTTTTGCTCTCTTTTGAAAGTCTCTGAAAAACAATTTTAAAAAATGAAATTAAAAAGTCGATCGGCTATAAGATGCCACATTCCCAAAGTCTGTCCTCAGCTTTTCCATTTAGAACAGATCATCTTTCCACCAATAACACTAATCTAAACTAAATTGAAACTCCCCTTCCTGCAAAATTTGCATGGAAACACGCCTACAAAGGGAAAGGTGCTTAAAGCCCCATCTCCTTTTCTTCTGGTAATACCAATCAGAATCAGTATCAACAGGGAGTATGCCTAGGGTGTGGGCAGAAAAGGTAAGCTGACTGAGATGAGTTGAGAACTGCAAGTAGGACTCAGAGAAATCTGCAGCCAGCCTATCCCTAAGTCACTTCTGCAGCCCACCCTACAGACAGGGTTTTCCCCTTAGGTCACCCAGAACGTCCACCACTTGCTAAACGTCCAAACCTCTGCCTTTCCCACTTTGACCAGGAAAAGTGGTTGCCAGTGACAATCAGTCAACAGTTCAAGATTCCGAAGCACAGAGAAGGTGCCCCAACCATGGGTATAGGGGGTCTTCTCCAGTCTTGGGGTACAATGTCAAGCAATGGACCTCTCTGACTTTTCCATAAAGCTTACCCAGCATGAGTCATTGGTGGTAAGAGGAGGTGAAATACAGGCAAATGCATGGCCTTCCCTTTTCAGGAATGCTGACAGAGATAACAGTTCTTAAACACTGCTCTGCATTAGCCTTCTCTAGAAAATCCTGCTGGGCACTTTAGAGCTTTGGAGTAGGGAAACAAAAACAAACTTTCTGATATCCCAGGTAAGGCTGGCTAGGTGAGGGAGCATCCTCTGATGTCAGATCTCTCAGTGTCTAACCACATTTTGCCCTGCCCCAATCCCTCCCTTCATTTCTTGGCCTCCAAGCTTGTTCCACAACAAGAATAAATCAAAGAAGTAAGTTGTAAAAGGCCAATCCTGGTATTGCTTCCAGGATTGCAAAAGCCCTAGTATCCCCAGAGTATATCTTTGAAGAAGTCTCTGTTCAAGCCCAGTGCGTGGGGCTGCCCTGATGGATACTAATCTCTACCCTCAGAGGACACACCCTGGGTACCGCTAGGCCCTGCATGAAGGCACCCCGAGGTTCAAGGTGCTCCCTTCCCGCCACCCACCTCCACCCAACAATCAGGTGCAGATGACACTAGGGATCTTGAGGGAAATTTTTTCTAAGGTCTGGAGATCTTCAAAGACCAGATCCCCACCCTGGCCCTGGGGAATGAGAAGTGGAGAGTGGATGGCGTTTGGAGTCAGAAACCCAGTGAATCGCAGAGTAAGACCCATGGTAGGGCACGGGGCAGGTGGTAGGCTGGGCAGCTCGGCCTCCAGGGACTGACATTAAGTCGCCCAGAATAGCCGAGCGGGGGGCTTGGAGCACTCCCGCCCAAACGCCTGTAGTGACAGCAGCCCAGCAATGGGTCCTTCTTTGCTCGCGGTGGGGCCCAGGACGCGGGGGGTCAACTCGCCTTGGCTTTCCGGGATGTTTGCAAAACACCGTGAAAGATTGATGCAGCCCCCTGGGCAGAGAAGCCCGGATTAGAGGCGTGACACCAGCATCTGTGCTGGGAGGACCAGCCCTCCCCGCGGCAAGCATAGCCCGGGGCAGCCGGTCCCGGGCGGGGAAGGAGGTGGGAGGCAGGTGGCTATGGGGGACGGGAGACGGGGGATGGAGCACGCTGTGGGAAGGATGCTAAGGGCGCCCCTACTCACTGCCAGGCTACTGCCCCTCTCAGGGTGGGGACCCCACCACCCGCCAGCACTGCTGTCGCTCTGGTCCTTTCTGGCCGGCTTCTGCTTTGGCCTCGCCAAGCAGCCGCGGGTGCGGCGCTTACTCACCCTCTAGCTGTGGCGGACAGTGGAAATAAAACATCGCCGACGGTCTGATGGACTAGGCGGCCGGACTTGGGTGGGTGGCGGCGGGACAGACGGGCGCGCGTAGCTCCGGCCTGGCTGCAAAGCAAACAGCAACAGAGCCTAAGTGTCTTGCCTGCGCTCCGACCCGGCCCAGGGGCGCACGGAGAGCACCACTCTTGAAAAGCCCCCTCCCAGCGCCTTCAGCCCACTTCGGGGACAGGAGGGGAGGTGGCGGCACCTCCGGTCGCAAGCCAGGAACCCGCAAGGTGGGGAGGGTCCACCTCCCGGAGAGCTGAACCCTCACCCAGGCCCAACACCAAACCCGCAGTCTGGTTTCGGGCTGCCAGGGGTCCTGGCCGCAAGCCCTGCACCAGGCCACCGCAGCCGGTCCTACGAACGCACAAGGCCAGCTGCTCCGGCGGCAGCTACCGCCAGGAAGACAGTCGGCCCCAAGGCCGGGTATGAGGGGCCCGGGGAGTGGGTTGGGAACCCCGAGTACCTCCGCAGGAGGCTGGCGAGAAGGCCAGAGCGTGACCGCCTCCGGTCCGCACGCGGGGTTCGGCTGGCGGCGGGCGGGGCTCGGCGCTGCTGGCGCCCGCAGGACCAGAGAAGTGACTCGGGAAGTGGCCAGATGTCTTGCTGTCTGTCTACAGCGCGCGCCGCCGCTCAGCACTCGCCTTTATAATCTCACGCATAATTGGCCTTAATCTGATTATTTCCAGCGCTGTCTACAGCGAGTAACTTGGATAGGTCTATTGGGCCTTACAAATGGCCCACGTGGTGTAAAAAAAAAAAAAAATCCGTCATTTCTCAGCAAACATCGGGAATGTTTTTCCTCTTTTCTTTTAAAAGAGGATAGAAACAACCGCCACCAACAACAGCCCCCCAAAAAGAGGTTATGTTTTGAACACTCGGCCACCCCACCCTGTGTCCCCTCAGACTCAAACCTTCTTTATCCAGGAGAGAATGGATTTGGGTTCGCCCTTGTCAGAGGCCTGGCGACTCCCGGGCTGCAAATTGACAAAGCGCTGCTAATTGTCGCCACCGGATGGGTTTTGGGGGGACTCTTTGCACACGGCTTCCCTTTCCAAGCGATCGTACAAAAGGAAAGTTTGATTTTGTTCTCAGCAAGGGGTCCCTGAATTTATGTTCGCTTCTCCATGCAAATGATATGCGGTGGGACCCTTCGCAATTACTTTTAAAATGCATCGGAGGCAGACACTCAGCGGAGAGAGACCGCCCTTCTCTCTGCCTGGGTGAAAATTAAACTCTAAAGTACCGGGCTGAAATTTTCAAGTCAGGGGCGCGGGATTGGATCAAATCACATAAACTGCAAAAAAAGCAAGTCTAATGGCGCATAATTGGTTCTGTAATAGCATTACACCAGGATAATAGCCCGTTACGGCCCCCTGCACTATTAAGTGCTTCCCTGGCGGAAAGCCTTTATGATATTAAAGGGGGAATATAATGATATTTTGGTTATTAAATGCGTGTAATTAATTTATGCACCACTGAAAATAAAGTTGGTATTATGACCCACTCAAGATGCATCAGAAGATGCAAGTCAGACAACTGTTGATAAGTTCTGGTGTCTGTGTTCCGTCTAGACTGCTGATTTTATTTTTGGGACGATGGCTTCTTGGACAGACTACATAAATTGAATATTTTATAAACATTCTAATGCTGCGTTCGGGAGCTTTGGCGAGGCGGTGGGTCGAGTCCCTGCCCGGGCCCGGAATCCTGCCTCGATCTTAAAGACGCAGCGCGTTGGAAACAAAAGGCCTGGCGGGCCCACTCACGGACATGCGCCCCTGGGCGAGTAGCGTCCAGCTGAAGGGCTGAGTGCTAGGGCCCTGGCTCTCGATGGACATCCCTCCGAAAACAGCCCCCAGGAAGACACCGCACCGCTCCAACTGAGGCAAGTCGTGACCTGTTTCACGTTAGCGGACCCTCCTGGGTTCAGTCATCGGGACACCAGAGTCCCGCCGAGCCGCTAGCAAGGAACCGCTGGAAACTCCGGCTCTGTTCACGGAGACCCCGCGGCGCCAGATTTGCCAGGGCACTGATTCCGGGAGTCCAGGAGGCCAGCCTGGGAGAACGCTGCAGGTCCGGGAGGCGGGTGAGGTAGCTGGCAGGGGGCAGCCGGAGCCGAGCGCGCGGTTTCCCACTACTTGGAGAGGCCTGGAGCCCCGGGAGCAGACCTTTTCTCAGCCCCAAGCCAAGAGGCTGGCTCATGGGTGCTTGTCTCCTTCTCTCTCCCTATCTCCCTCAGAGGCACCCAGCTCTGCAACCCTTTAAAGAGCCAGGTCGGATGCCCCTTTTGCGCTCCTGAGTCTGCCAAAAGACCCCTCGGATTCCCTCCTGACCTACGCAGCAACTCCCCGCCGGTGCGCCCGGTGCGCTCCTGTAGTTCAGTGGCTGTGAAGCGAGGTGAGGCGGGGGTCCCGACCATCTCCGCCAACACGTTCCAGGTTCACTTGCGTATCTGTGCGGGGGGAACCTTAGCACAAGCAGCCCAGCTCTGGGAGCTGCATTGGCCCCAGAAACCTATGAGGTCCAACCCACAGACTCAGCTCCCCATCCCCGACATGAACTGACAGAGGTTCCCATCAAAGCTTAGAGGTGGACTAGATGAAGTTTGTCTTGGCAGCGCACTCCCGGCGCTTTTCGGCCGATCAGAACCCTGGACAGCGACGCTGTTTTTTCCCCACCCCATCCCTGGACTTCTGCAGGGAAAGAAGCGGGTCCCGAGGGCCTGTCTGGGGCCCTGCGCTACGCAGCTGCGAGATCCGCCCAGCCGGATTCCGGGCATTAACGGACCTCAATCCTCTCCCAATACAGTCTACGAAAATTACTTGGGACGCGCGCGGTCGCAGCAAGGTCCGAACTTCCGATTCCACAGTCGCAGGAGAGGATCCTACTCTGAGGTTCCAACCCGGAAACATCCCACGGCCCCTCGCCTCCTGGCCCCCGCCCTCTCCGCGCCCTTCGACAGGATCCTGGATGCCTCGCTGGCAGGACCACCCGAGCTCCGGGAAAAGACTTACCTTGCACAGGGCTTCAAGTCAGCTCCGGACCCTCGGCCTCGCCTCGCCCGCCGTCCCTCTCCCAGAGCCAATAGTCTGGGTTCGTTTCTTCTGGCAAAACAGCGAATAAACAAACAAACAAATGCAGAAACGAAAAGCTACAGTAAACTTTGATGACGCAAGCCCCCTATTTCCCAAATCGTCTCCATACTCTGGGCCCTGGAGAAGGTGATTAATAGGTATTCGCTATGGTCCCCTTCTCCTTCCCAAAAAGAGCACTAGTAACGAAACGGTTATATTTTTTTTTTCTTAATTCTTGTGCGGTAAAATATATTTTCCAATTAACCAAATTCGCCGATCTGTCCCGCTTGGACACTCTGATAATTTACAACCTAAAAGTGTACTTTCTTTATCTAAAGACCAAGGTGACTGCTTTTAATTTTCTCTAACCTCTTTACACTTGATGTTCACCAGACTCATAATGTTAATTGGCTTCATATACGGATCATCAGTTTAATGAAGAAATAAATCCTGTGTTGCTTTATGTTTTAACAGTGATTGCTTTAATGAGGAATGTGACGTGTTCCAAAATCAAAGCTGTAGGAGACATTAGAAGGGGTTTCTATTAGGACGGAAATGCTTATTTAAAGTTAAAATCATGGGGTCATATATTTCAACAGATTTTCCTATTGCCCGCCTTCACTTCCATCCTCTGCAAGAAGATAATTCTGTATTCCTCAAGCCTTCTTCTCTATGTATTTAATGCACAGCAGCAGCAGAAGCTGCATCCCCTCTAAGAATCATTTTCTGGTTACTAAATAGGGTGTGCTACCTTACCTCCTGTCCAGCAGGGCAAATAAAAGCCAGAACAGAGTAAGGAGTTTGACTTTCAAGGTTCTTCACTTTTTTAAAAAATAAAGTGGGAAGAAAGTAGCACACTCACACCCCAAGATGTGTGCAGAGGCAGCTCCCCCAATGCTTACATCCCTGGTGCTGAAAATTCAAGGCTGAGTTCCTAAAGGCAGACAGCTCAGCTTAGGCCAAGTAGGCTGCTGATGACCGGGGCTCTGGCCCCTGAAAATATCTGTAGGGGATGTGCTGGACTCCCGCCCAGGTGATGAGATCTTTACATCTCTATATCAATTAATAGCAGAGTAAATCTGTGTTCTCTAATGTGTGTTTGAGTTTTCTAATTTTAAGTTGGTTCTATGAAGGGAAAGCTGTCATCACAAAAACACTGAGAGCAGCAATAAAATGTTGGAAATGGGATCATCTATACACGCAAACCCTCAATTGTTTTCAGTTGAATTATGAGTCATTTTAAATTGATTCCTGAAAAGAATTCTAAATCCTTAGAAATGTAGGGATTTGAGACTCTGGATTGAGATCTCCGACACCACACACAGTATTAACTTTTTCCATTTGCTCTGTTTTAGGAAAATTGAGGAAATATTTGAAGACACGTCTATACATATATTTGAGCCCAAATACATATAAGCTGGATTTCATATCTCAATGATATGAAGAGCGGGGGAAAGAGCTTTTTCCAATCTCCCTTTTAAAACTTCCTTAGCAAAAACAATTTCAGTAAACATGACTTAAATCCATAGCAATGAAGGTAGAGCAGATAAAAATACTTCATTTTGGACTGGGACGGTAGCTCAATGGTAGAGCACTTGCCTAGCACACCTGAGGCACTGGGTTCGATCCTCAGCACCGCATTTAAATTAATTAATTAATTAATTAATTAAAAAGGTATTGTGTTCATCTACAACTAAAAAAAAATTTTTTAAATATTTTACTTAGCAGGAAGAGAAATAAAACACATTGACTTGCTATGCATCAAAACATAGATCCTTTCAAAGAGGGGTCCAGATGATTTTTACTTTATTTTGATAGTAATTTTTTTTAAATTCCCGCATGTAATTTCCAGTGACCACACAGCTCACCTGAGATGGAAGGCACAGTACACGTGTGCTCAGTGTGAATACAACATGCTCTCTGCTTATCAGCAAATCTATTGTCATTCTGTAGTTTTGGAGATTGCCAATAAAGCTTGGGTTAGCTAAACATGATAGAATATATTTTTTAAAATAGCAGCTAATTGAAGTTCCACATGAACAGGAGACTTATGAACAGAAATATATATATATTTATAAATACATATATATACATATACACATACAGGAAAAGGGATAGATATGCATTTTATTATCTTGCAAATTCTATATAATTCACTAGTTTTATTGTCATGTAAAAGTAATAACAGCTGCTCAAATGCAAACCAATAACCTCACCTTGTTATTGACCATAGAGCAACATGGACTCCCATGTGGTACCCTAGGGTCTCCAGCTTTTGACTCTATGCTTGCTCCTAAACTTAGAAGGGGGCTCCAGTCCTCCAACCTTCACAAGAAGAAAAGGCAGTGTCTGCTGCCTATAGAGTGTGTGCAACCCTAGATCCATCCAAGCAGGCTCTGGTCCAGAGGATCTAGGTAAACTTGAGCAGGTCACTTACTCTCACAGGACATCTGTAACTCTTTCCATGAAGTGGGACAATAATGCCTACATGGAGTGCTAGGGAGAGGATTAAAAGACCATTCAAGAACATT